GCGTAACTAATTATATTGTTGTTGTGTGTGTGTGTGTGTGTGTGTGTGTGTGTGTGTGTGTGTGTGTGTGTGTGTGACAAAATTAAATTAACTTATGTAACGCCAGAAAAACATGCGAATAAGCGGAAAATGTTATTTTTACGCAATTTTTCTGGGTGAGTACCTTTCTCTCGATTCTCTCAATCGAATAACCGTTCAAACATATGGAAACGAGATGACATCGTTACGGAGATGTCTCCATTTAATTTCGCGCAGATGTCAAATTAAAAGCGGCGACGCAAACGCGATTTGCATCGCAAAACCGTTCTCTTGATCGCTGTCCTTTCACTCTTCTCGCTGATTTACGTCCAAATAAAGCGAACGTATCGTCGTCATGCCAGACCATATAGCGGCCGATTATTATGCTATATGTAAAAATGGCGTGTAGCAGGTGTTGCGGAGAAGTGATAAATGACGATCTTACACACTCGTAAATTTTATTATAAATCGCGCTTCCCGGATCAATAAATCGGAAATAAATCAATTATTCTCATAATTAAAGCCGTAGAGAATGTTTCGGTATCTTCGAGAGTAAAAAGTTTTTGTTAAATTTACATTACTGAGAAAAATATTTTGTTTAAAAGAGAAAACTTATTTTACAACTGCATACAATTAAAATGCCTAGCCATTATGTAATTTAGCTCTTGAAGCTAAAGACGCATGATATATTCGTAAAAAGATATCAATTATTTTGGGATTTTTCTAACATTTAAGATAAAAACCGTTTATATATTTTACCCACTTTTCACTTCAAATAGTTCTCTTCACATTTATTCCTTGCCAAATTTGTTTCTGTTGTCAGATAGAATAGCTTCCATAGACATATCCGTGAGCGGAAAGTGTAAGCGACAACTCTGTATCATTCAACCAATGTATAACTCAAAAATTATCATGACTTTTTTATGTTTTATGCTATGAGAATTTTTCACTCAAATTAATTTTGAGAATATATTATCATTTAAATTTAATTATAACTATCTTAACTTTGTCCTTAGTTTATAAATGTTAAAATTAGCAAAGACTGTAAATTGTTTCTCGCATCTTTAATTCCAGTAACGTCGCCAAGATTTCATCAAGACATTTACAGATGATTCGACATTGTTTATTGAGTTATTGCATTTGAAGCGCAATATACTTCCTTCAATGTGCTCATGTGCTCATTAACCGCCGCAACATCGTGAAACGAAACGATTGTATCCAATTAAGGTACGAGAATTTTTTGTGAAAAATACAAGTCGCGCTTGGTATCGCGAAAGTCACACCGATGAAAAACTGGTCCTCAATATTGTATAATCATTGTCATATATGGCGAGTGTGCGCGAACTTAAAGCGGCCTTTAAGGTTTATTAATTTACGCAACGGATACTCTATTGCGAATATTAAAGTTAAAAATTAATCAATAAAATTTGTTTAATCTTATCGATTTTATCAAAATTGCAAAAAATAATATAATTATATAATTATATAATTACTTTATATTAAAAATTGCGCCAAATACAATACACATATATCGCGAAATCTTGTCTCTTATTATTTCGTCATATATATTTTCTTCAAATAAAAATTCAATCTAACGCTAAATTATTACGATGATTAGTGGCGGAAGATAAAAAGCCTCAAACCTCTATCAAATTCTTTTCGAGGTGAATTCTTTTCGCTTTGAAAACGGTCAAAGAATACAATGGTTGAAAGACAATCTGATAAATCTGGAACATACACATGCATCTAGACATATTGCTGGTCGTATATATGTGTACGTATACGATGTATTATATGCGTATGTTGCGTGGAAGCTGCAGAACCACCCACGACGCGGCAGATCGACGAGAGAGAGAGAGAGAGAGAGAGAGAGAGAGAGAGAGAGAGAAGAAGAAGAAAGAGAAGAAGAGAGAG